AGACAAAATTATGTCCTTGGGCCAATCAAAGGAGATCTTTTGTATATAATTATTGTAATTATTTCAATCTAAAAACTATCAAATATTCTATAAAAACCTCAAAAAACCTTACATTCCAATGAATGAAGCATGGCATGTAATTAGTTGGCGAGGATGTATATTATTGAGTAGGTATGCATGATATTTAACAGGTAAAGTAATAATAAATTACAATTAAATGTGCAAGTCGTATGTAAAGAGTTATAATAGTTATATAGAGTTTACAATGAATAAATGAATGAATCTGAATCTGAATCTGAATAGAAAATAGGTGGGAGTTGGATCAGTATAAAATTACAGGTACTTCAGTTTAACATATGCATGTCGCGGAGAACCTAACGGGTTACCGGGGCTCCGGCTCGACGTGCAGGAGAAGAACGGGGTGGTTTTTAGTCAGTAAGAGTCTGACACTCCCTCCCGCCTCACCCAGGCGGGAGCAGTCATTCGATGATTTTTCCCCCTTAAAAAAAATGCATGCCATAAGTTGTTACGAACTAAGCAAAAACTGACTTGAGAATTAATGGACAAGGATGAGAAAACTCGTGCCTACATTTAATTTGCGAATAACCTAATATTACTTTTGTTCGTTAAAGTTGAGATAGGCAGATGAGTTCAACATTTCTCTGACAAAAACTCTGAGAAGAAACAACGAATTAAAATTAAATGATTTGCATGTCAAATATTGGTAATATTTTCAAAGTTCGAAGACAACACAGGTTAACCTGTAAATGTATATCTAGATCTTCTTATTTCATATCTTCTAAACCTGTGCCTGCTCAACTGTTTCGCTTTGTATAAAATATCGTTTAACATTTGTAAATATAACATAGATTGTTATTTGTAATGTTAGTACTATAACTCCCTATATATTTATACATAAACCTAGATCAAATATCAAAAGAAAAAAAATCAAAAAATAAAGTAAAAGGTAATTGTGTGTACCTTTAACAAAGAAATCTAGAAGGTTCAATTGAAAATAATTCTATCTATAGCTATTTCGATACGATTCGACTGAAAATTTTGATTATTTTCTATGTAGTACCTAAATATCATGAACCTAGTAATACAAAGTACATATAACTATCGTGAAACTTACAAAATTAGCTGAGCGTGAGATGTGCGACGTCGCCGCGACCGCGCACGCTGCTCATAAGGAAGAACCCCTCTGTGGTTCGAAAGTAGTAGAGCTTTTCTCAGTATATACCTGAGTAACCCGCGATTTTAGTTAAAGTACATAAAGGCAATTAATCATCATCACCGTGATGAAGGTATTCTGTAACTATAGAAAACAAGAGCCAAAAAGAACGGCATCCTAAAATTACAAAGAAAAATGTTTGACCGGTAGTCAACAGTTGTATTTGTGTCCACAGGTCAGCGAATACTTGAAGAAGCAGATGGTTCCGTCCGACGGCGCCGAGATGAGTGACGACATCAAGCAAATGCTGGAGAGTCACGACAAGCTTGTAGAAGAGATCTTCCAACACGAAGATAAGGATAAGAACGGATTTATCAGCCACGAGGAATTCTCAGGGCCAAAACATGATGAACTCTAAAAACCTAATTATTTAATGTAGAAAACTCGCTCCCGTATCAATACTGATTTCATATTTAGCGCAGTGACGGGAGCCGAGTCCGTAAGTTGTGCGTGCATTAAGTGTTTACAATTATTTATACCCGGTCATAAGTAAATTTCCAATAGACCTGCGATGTAATGATGTCGATCTACGGATCCAATATGTGTAGATTTAGTAAGTTTTAAGAGTCATTTTATAAATTTTTGTTGAGTCTTTTGTACTTAGTTTATTTTACTTGTGTTGTTGGTGCAATGGAGTTTTGTTATTTAGAGTACGATTATTAGTATAACTATATGCTTTTATGGTTTATTTCTGTATGATATTTTTTAACTTTCTGCATAATATTACCTATCGATGTCTATTTTGCATGTAATTTATAACTTTTAATGGTCAACTGAATAATCATATAATATTATAAATGTAGTAGATTGAACCATATGATAATCTCAATGTAACTTATTATTATCCAATAACGGTTATATATCTAAGTAATAATTAAGTCATATCTATCCGCAGGAGTACATAAATGCTCCTTTACATACTCTCTGTATTGCATAATCAAATTAGAATGATACAAAACTACAGCACTTCCCCTATATTTGAGTTGACTATAATCTATTCTGTAATTACTTTCTTGCTCAAATACTCTATCGTTTCTCGTGTTTGTATGTCCTTGAATTGTCAGCTTCAATGCAATTTGATTTAATTCAATCCTGTTTTGGGATCTTGAATTAACTGTTTGTAATACCTAATTATAATAATTATGTAACTTTATTTTAAGTGCGTACGTCGTAAAAGACAACGATTATCTACCCTGTTCGACGTTCATTCCGCTGTGGTTTAAATAAACTTATTTATACCTTTACCTACCAATAATGTTGTTTCATTTATAATTCCCTGAACCCATTGTGTTTTAATTTTCAAGAGCTAAACTCTCATTACTGTGTTCTCGCAAATACTACTTAGGTACATCTATTTCTAGTACATTAAGTAGATACTTGAGACAAGCTGTCTCAAGTGTCTACTTATTTACTTAAACTTGTTGATATTTTGCCTGCCAGACATCCGTCGAAGAATATTATTTCATCAAACCAAATCAATAAAAAGAGTTACTGTTTACTCGTAGCGCGTAGCGCGCATGTCGTAGTACCAAGTACGTAGGTCGTACCACGTAGCACCAAGTGCGTAGGTCGTAGCACGTAGCACCAAGTGCGTAGGAAGGTGGTTGTAGCACCAAGGGCGTAGTGCGTAGCTCGCAGGACCAAGCGCGTAGCGCATGAGACGTAGCACGGAACAAGATATGTGGTGGATTGTTATCAAAAATCAGTCACAAATTAGATTTTTATTATAAAACGTAGCTAAATGTTTAACTGAACCTGTAACACAAATAAATAGCTTATAATATGTCAATTTAAAATTCAAGAAAATACAATGGACTTTTGATGACTATTTAACATTATGAGATTCTCTGGAGATTTCATTCATTATACAAGTCTCAGGAGATTTATTTACATATTTATCCTTCGTGCTACTTTAGGTGACGAAGGATAAGATTTTGTAATTATTGCTTCTAATAGTGAATCGGACTGCGAATATATGAGGCGGGCCAGTATCTTGAATCAATAGAAAAATATTGATAATTATTTATAGAAAAAATCGATAAACAAGCAGACGCATCACTAGTTGTAAGCAAGCGATGCCGCCACATACTATGGCCAGTAATGGATACCAGTAGCATCAGACGATTTACAAGGTGTCCCTTCGTCCAGCATACTCACCATGGAATCCTGATATTTCATGAATGTCAAAAAACTGTTCTGAAATAGTGCTAAATAGTGCCCAAAGGAAAAAAATAGTGCTCTTGTACTTGACACATGTTTTTGGACAAAAATTGGACTGATATTGGGCACTATTTCAAGCACAATTTTTTGAGACGTAAATTGTACCTATAGCTCGTTCGATATTCGCGCACTGAGGTGAGTATGCTGGGCGTAGAACCTACGCCCAGCATACTCACTGAACGAAGCCTATAACTCCGAAGTTATTCGAGCACTGTTTTTTCTTTTTGGGCACCGTTTGGCACTATTTGGGAACTATTTTTTGAAGTATGAATTATGTTTGAAGCGTATACAGATTCTCCGGACGGAGGTGAGTATGCTGGGCGAAACCTTCATCCAGCATACTCATCGAACTATGGCTATAACTTCGCAAGTACAAGAGCACTATTTTTTTCCTTTGGGCACTATTTAGCACTATTTCAGAACAGTTTTTTGACATTCATGAAATATCAGGATTCCATGGTGAGTATGCTGGACGAAGGGACACTTTACAAGTGCGTTGCCGGCCTTTTGCGGATTCGGAGATTGGGGATTAAGGGGGCGAAATTGGGCCTCCGGTAACTTCATTCACACAGTTACACACAAAGAAGGCGTTGTTGCATGCTGTCGTGTTCGTTTGTTTTCAACCTCAAACTGGTATTTAAGCACATAGATATCGTTCCTATTTACCCTCGTTAAAGTCCAGGCACTTGAGTTGAATTATCGTTCCTATCATGAAAAATGGTTCTAAACCCACCGAATTCGAATTGCCTCATTGGTTGTTGGTCAAGTGGCCACAAAGGCGATTATACCGAGTACTGAGCACATATTACAACATTTTACATTTCTAGCAATGTAGAAAATTTTATTACAAAATACGCAAATTTTTATAGATAGTCATGAGGTGGGTACCTAATTAGTGTGTTATCCTGTTGTGTCTTATCTTACTTATAAGTCCCTGACCTTACGATGATTTGTCTCATCAAGCTTTCTTGTACGTACTGCTTAGAAGTGAAATTCTTTGCCAGAGTCTGTATTTCCTGAAGGGTATAACCTGGGTGGCCTCAAGGCCTGAGTGAATAGGTTGCTTATGGAACGACTTGCTCCATCGTAGACGGTATCATCGCTTACCACCAGGTTAGATAGCGGTCAAACGTCGGCCCATCAATTCCTAATGGTGATTATTAATGGAGAATATTTGACCAAAATTATATCATATAATTTCAGGATTGTTATTGATATATTCTTATATTTCACATATTATTATCTTCCTTAAAAAATGAGCGTATTCTTTTTTTAAAAGGTCGTCAAAGTATCTTCGACTTCCTTGCTGCTGGTAGGTATCTATGGGCGGCACTGATCGCTTACCATCAGGTGATCCGTCTGGTCATTGGCCTCCTATTCCATAAAAAAAACTTTCTATTCCTGTTCGTATCTTGTTGGGTATTAATGTGGCGAGGGTGTAATAAAACGTATTGTCAGGGTTAAGAAAACTGTCAGTTTGACAGCAGACTGCAGAACGTATTGTCAATAATTATTGTGGTGGCTGTCAGTTGTCACTAGTGTCATTGAGGAAGAGAACAGTCAAATCGTGTGTTGTGCTGTGTTTAGTAAAGCTGAAACAGTTGGTGATAGTTCTACAAACCGTGTGAGTCTCTATAAATTTATATCAATTATGTTTATGTGATATTTTCGAAATGTTATCCAATAAAAGTTTGGTGGCAGCCTGTGCCATAGCGTTCTGCTGCAACGTGGCTTTAATGGTATTGTTTGTAAAGTATAATTCTGGAGAGAAATGCTACATTACAATCGACGAGAAACAGGTGGTAACTTCCACAATCCCAGACGACTTCCTTAGCATCGGCATCGACACATCTGAAATAGAACATTACGATAGAATCGAGTTTGGCAAGCCGAGACTGCGACAACTTGCAGCAGCATTAGCGCCGGCGCGTCTGCGCCTGGGCGGCACCATGTCTGACCGACTTATATTCAGCGAGAATGACATTGTAGCGTCCTGTGAACACTGCCCTAAAGACTCTCAATCTAAGTCAGCTTGTTCTGCTGTCAGAAAGTTATGCAAACACAAGCATTTGCCTTTCTTCATAATGACTGGTAAAAAATGGACCGAAATTAATGAATTTTGCAAAGCCACTAAAAATAAATTATTATTTGCATTCAATGTTTTGCTTCGTGATGACCATGGGTGGTATGATCAAAATGCAAAAGATCTTCTGGAATATAGTAAATCTAAACATTTCACCATAGACTGGCAGCTTGGTAATGAGCCAAACTCATTTGAACATGTTTTCAATATATCTGTAACTCCAGAGATGTTAGCCCATGATTTCAAGAAGCTTCGTAAACTACTTAATGAATTTGGCTACAAACATTCCTTGCTAGTTGGACCAGACACAACTAGACCACAGCCCAAAAGACCTTATTGCCTAGAGTACATGAGGGAATTCTTGGGAAATGGTTCCAAACAAGTGAATGTAGTATCTTGGCATCAATATTACTTAAACAGTCGCACTGCAACACTTGAAGATTTCTGGAATCCAAGTACATTTGACTTATTGAAAGAACAAATTGAAACTATGAGAAATCATACGAAAAAATATAGGCATATGCCTATGTGGCTGACCGAGACAAGCAGCTCATATGGAGGAGGAGCACCGGGCCTTTCTAATTCTTTTGCTGGAAGTGCTTTATGGCTGGACAAGTTAGGTCTCTCTGCAAAATACAATATTACTACTGTAGTAAGACAAAGTTTTATCGGAGGAAATTATAGTCTTGTTGATAAAAAGTTGGAACCTCTGCCAGACTGGTGGCTGAGTGTCATTTATAAGAAGCTTGTAGGAAGCAAAGTACTACATGTTGACTGCAAATGTTCTCCGTTGCAGAGAATGTATGTGCATTGTGCTAATAGGAAATACACCAATGATACTTCAGCTATAACTGTCTATGCTGTTAACTTAGAAATGGCTAAAGCAAGGTTCTTGTTAAATGGCACTGCATTGCATGGAGATAATTTAATAATTGATGAGTTCATATTGAGTGCTCCATCTAATAATAGGAGATCTAAGACTTTATTATTGAATGGTTGGCCCCTATATTATGAATCTGCTTTGCCTGATCTGGAACCTGTACGGTTAAAATATGGTAACCACATCTCTATGCCTCCATACTCGTTAGCATTTTGGGTTATAAAAAATACCTCCATAAAAGTTTGCATTTAAAACATTCAACCGCATTTACAGGTCTTTTATCGTTCGTACTTAACATTCCAGTGAGATATTACTGAGCCCCAATGCAGATCTGTTATATTTACAAAACTCGGTACCTACTGCTTATAAGTCAGTACCTCAGTACCACTGATATTTATGATACTGAAGACAATGAATTTTTAATTATTTTAATAATTTAATAATAAATAATAATCAATTTTATCTCATGCACCCAACGGATAAACTTTAAATAACTTATCTCATCAATACGATAATTTTTACTTGGAAAAAAGTAATTCAAGCTATGACAGTATTTATAAAACTCGAATAATGATTTATTTTTCATATGAATATTTTTATACACAGGCATTGTGTACGTATTCTATAGACATACCACGACAACAATTTAGTAATAAGTTAAAATAATAAAAAAGAACTTAAAATATAAAACTTGATAATGAGTAATAATGACACTTGTTACAATATCTTCGCTTGCCTTGAAAAATAATAATGTACGGGCTGTTTACATTTTAATATCTCGATTTCCATATTGCTTCGTCTTGACAATATAATTATCTTGAATTGTTGACAATAGCTAGCCTCGTCCACCAGTCAAGGAGAATTATTCTTCATTTGACATTGAACTACTGTCACCGTTTGATAAGACTACAATCTAAATGCATAAGCTATGCCTAAATAGTTCTATATAACTAGCAAACAAAGATGTGTCTGTACGTATGTTTACATCTATCAATTAATAGAGGCAATTTGCTTTAGTCATGTGACAAACCACGTAGCATTTTTAGATCTCTTTATACACTAAATGTAAGCTTGAATGAATGTCATATAAAGTGATGTCATCTTTTACTATTGTTATCTGTTATTGTAATTACAACAAATAATATTTTCTAATTAGAATAGTATGTGTAATATAATGTCGGCAAAAGTTGACTATTTTTCAAGTTTAGTATAAAAATGAAAAATAGTCAACTATTAATATTGTCGAAGTACTTTTGATCTGTACATTTGTACTTGTTTTATATAATTCTTATGAATGTTGTGACTTGGTATAATTATAAGAAACCTACTTTGTAATCCCTGTGCCATGCTTTAAAAGAACTTTTACGAATATTCTACTGATATATAAAGGTGCTTAATTACCTACCTATAACTAAATAGATATATAAATAATGTTATTGCCTTCACAGCACATTGTAATTCATCATATTATTCATTTCTCAAACAAGGTATTTTTATTAATATGTGAATTGTAAGTATTTTGCATAAATTGCGTGGGACCATCCCCGAAATTGGACCTGTACTAACTGAAATTATGAATCTTTTTTCAAAACTATTACCAATTATTAAGATCAATGCTATTTTTACACATACAACATTAGATTTTTATTTACATATATACACCTCTAGATACCTATCCTGTGTGGATATATATATTTGTATATTTAGTTTTAAAGATAATAATTTGAGTTTATACAATCAGGAAATATTATACCTATATGAGTACCCATATGGGTTTTTTTAAAGGGGGGAAAATCATCGAATGACTGCTCCCGCCTGTGTGAGGCGGGAGGGAGTGTCAGACTCTTACTGACTAAAAACCACCCCGTTCCTTCTCCTGCACGTCGAGCCGGAGCCCCGGTTACCCGTTAGGTTCTCCGGGGTAGCATGGTTGGTACATAGGTAGTACAATAAGTCCTTAATTGGCATTGTAAATACATCCAATTGTTATACATATTTTATTTTACAATTAGACACCATTTATGCAAGGTATTTACTAATTTAAATATCTCGTTAAAACTTAGTACTTAGTTTACAATATTTGTAATCTAAATATATTTTTTCAATAAATCAAGTTAGTGATTTTGTTTGAGTTTGATGATTAAGTTGACGTTTTCTTCTTAATAATATACCTAGGAGTTTCTTTGTCAATCGTATTTTCTAAGTTGTACAGTATAATTCACTTCGACTTATCATAAGTATTTGTAGGTAATGTTGAAAATTCCAACAATGGAATTGCAATCATATTATATTTATGCCTCGAGTCTACATTAATATCATAAACCTATTAGTATGTTTCAAAGATGATGCTTCAGTTCCCTATAGATGATTGTTTATTTAAATGTTCATTCATTAAATGCATTCAATAACATTAAATAATTATAATTCTTCTCATTATAAAGACATTGCGATCTTGGTATTTAGTGTTAATCACTATATTTTTTTTTACTTAGAATTATTCTGAACAAATTTTTATCCACGCTTATTTTTTAAGCTGATGGTTTATGTAAGTATATATTTCATTTTATTATTGTAAAGATAAATACATAAAATGCTTAATGAACATTGGCCAAGTTTAATACAAGTAATTGAGGTAGGGATGTGGTACTCCCATTTGCATGGTAACGAAAATTATTTTTCTATCATTTTAGTATGCGGTGCCTAATTGTAAGACTGATTAGTATTACAGAAATATGTTTTTACATTGTGATACTTTGTTGAACAATATTATGGATAACTGTCTTGCAATCACTTTTTAGCGCTTTCAACCGTCTATTCATTAGGTTGCAACCCCGTAGCATACTTCCGAGTCGAGTGTGTTGGTGAAATTGTCTCGAGTTCATATTACAGAACGTTCCTTTAAAAGCCCTTTATACAATACCTACCGCATTGAGCAAGCGTGGTGATTAATGCTCAAACCTTGTCCGTTTGAGACTGCCTTTGGTCAGTAGTCTCTTAAAGGCTGTTGATGTGATACAATAGGTACTTACCTCTAAAATCTACTTACTTACATATAAAGTGAACTTTAGTTCATTTCAAAAGCCTTTTATTTAGAATTCAATTTTTTTAAAACAATTTAGTTAAATTATTTACCGTATTGCCATCGATGATTGAAACTACTTTCAAAAAGACGTCTAACTAAAAACATTTGCGTCAATGCATATTTATATTTATTAATGCATATTTTTTATGGTTGTAGGGGTTTTAGGTACTGTTGTAGCACTTAAAAGTGATTGTATTTGATATACATGATACCTATGTAACAATGTATTCAATCGGGCCTACCGTATTTTCTTCCTTAGATGGTGCTAGTGTGGACCTCTCATTCTTCGTCTAATAGGTAATCAGCTAGTGTATTCAGTATTTGACAGCAGCTGTGATTGGTCAAAAGAATTTCTTCATAAATTTGCGCTGTTTAGTGAGTTAAAATACGGTAGCCCCTATTTTGCAAATACCATTCGTAATAATAAAAAAAGAAGATAATGTTCAACCTTTCGAATTTAAAATAGAACAAATCAAAAACACTATTATACTTTGTTACACCATTCCATATAATATATATTGTGTACCTATCTAAATAAATAAAGTAGATTAGCTATCAGACAATTATTGTTCGTTCATGTTTGACTAATATATTTAATGACCTATTTAAATATGTTTCAGTAGTTATCGTTACAGTTAATATAACTAATGTAACGGCAAATATAAATTGCAATGTAATCGATCCGTTGTAAAGCTTCGATAAAATTATACTACCAGAGGCCTTAGTACGAATTTGTTTTACGTTTAAAGTAATCGTAACGAGTTCGCGTTCGGCGCTCTGATTGGTTGCTTCATTAGCGCCGGCCAATCAGAGTGCCGATTGCCGAACGCATACCTACTCGTTTTGAATACTTTAAACGTAAATCAAACTCGTACTAAGGTAGTTAGTAGTGATTACTCGCTTCACTTTTGATCTTATACCTCTATAAATATATATTATAATAATATAGTGTTATTCTACCAACTATCTTATGATATAACTGCCTATAAAAGCATTCGTGTGTTGTGCCTTTTTATGAAGTATCTAATGTATTCTTATGCAGTTATCTGTGTGCCTAAAACAAATAAATTTAAGCTTATTGTAATTGGTGGGTTTACAATGTTTATAGGTATATGTAATCAACATAGTCCCTAAGTCTCAATACCGCACAAAAGTTATGGAATGCTCTAACTGTAACAAGTACTATCAATTTCCTAACCACAGACACAATCAGAACCACAATATGATTTAAAATAAAATATAACGAACATAAAAACCGCAGCCCTAAAAATATAATTTAGGTACTAATTTAATAAACTTCCTGAAAATAAACTTACTGACCGGTCCCAGGAAATATTTTTCCTACACTCTAAAAGTTCTAAAATCGTTAGGTAATCATGTAATTTAAATTAAGTACGGTACCTATGTATGAGTACTATCGTGTTCATTCATAGTTTGTTATGTCTGCGCAAGTAAATAGTTTCGTTGTATTCCGAACTCACTTATACGTATGTATGTTAATATCTAAGTAATGTTTTTAGGATATATATTTATTGCATTTGCTTATACCTACTTAGTTCAGAATTTCGGCTGTTGTATTCAAACGTGTACTGAACGAGTCTTTTGAACATTTATAAATAAAACTATTTTGTCAACAGTACCGCAGTGCCTATCGCACTAATTGAAAAATACGTAATATTTCAAGATGTTTTTATGTTCTGAGGCCTTAGTACGAGTTTATTGTACGTTTAAAGTAATCGTACCGAGTACGCGTTCGGCGCTGTGATTGGTTGCTTCATTGGCGCCGGCCAATAAGAGTGCCGAACGCGTACTCGTTTCGAATACTTTAAACGTAAATCAAACTCATACTAAGGCCTCTGATACATTGTGATTCTAATACATAGATTACAAACATAAAATAAAGTATTTTGTGATAATTGATGTCAATTGAAGCGAGTTGCTGGTTTTTGCTATAGGTACATAGTTATAACGGGTGGTCTATCAATTAATTGATTGCGTCTAGGTATCCCTGGGTAGACGAGCTAGATATTGATGTGTGATAGCCTGATAGGTGTCTAAAAATAACAATTGTTTCCCTAGAGGCACGTCAAAGTAACATTCACTTTGTAAACTCTCGTCAGACTGTCATGTATGCACTTGAGTTTCTAAATTTCGCATATATCTAATATAATAGTCTGCACGTTCTATACGTATATGTTCTGTGGTCTGCATAGTTATTTGGTATACATGTTAAAAATTAAATTAAATATCGACTTATTACAGAGAGAGTAACTATTGCTACATTAAATTATATGATTTATAAAACCGTACCCTTTGTAGCCATTAGCCGGTTAAATAGTAAAAAAAAAAACGTCTTTTAAACTGTCAAACACCAAGCGGTCACCGGTGACCGCAACCTATTGTTCTATAATTGTGTCTACAAAACCGGTACTCGACGAGTTAAAAAACGTTGCCCCACACTAGGATTTTCTCCTGTGTCGTGGGTGCGTTTACAAACATACAAATTCACATACACAATGACACCCAGACCCGAAACAACAAGTGGATCACACAAAGTGTTGTTCCGTGCGGGAATCGAACCCGCGACACGTTGCACGGCGGCCGGTTGCCCAGTCACCGCACCAACCGTGCAGTCGAAGTCGAGTCAAGTCTGTTTCTGTTCTGAACCAATCTTTGATTTCGTACGTGCGTACTAAATAACTGTGTAGTGTAACTTCAATATTATGTGCACGTCTATTTATCTACCGACCTACCTCTATGAAACTGAGAAAAACATGTATATCCGAAGCTTACCATTGTCATAGTAAAGCTCGTTTGATTTTCTCAAATATTTTAATGTCATCTGTAACTAAAATAAGTCTAAGTATGCTGCAAAGGAATGAATGAAAGTTATGTCTAGCTTTATGGTGCTTTCTATGATCATCTTCTACGTACAAAATTGCACATTACGTAATTATACTGATTAAATAAATATTTATGTTATTGACAATGTTTTGGTTTTTCTTACCTTGAATTTTGCCAGTCTCCTGTATCGAATGCCAAATATTTAATTAATTCCCTCGGATTAATGGTAAATGAACATAGTTTATGTACCATTCGAGAATAAGGTTTCGGATAGTTTTTGATTTCTTAATTTTCAGTAGGTACCTACATAACTTGGAATTGATATTTGTGTTTGGAAAAAGGCTTGCGCTCTATTACAATGGGGTTTCATTCTGTTACGGTTTGTAGGTCTCTTTTATTGTTTAAAGACCATCGTTAATATCGTATAAACAGCCGCTTGTGCAATACAATACCTACCGGGGAAAATACCTAATTCGTTTCAATCTAACTGAGATGAATGGTCATTCCTGAGGCTGAACAGCCGGACGCGCGGACGTTACGATGCATCTGTCGCACTATTGTGCATCTAAGAAAATGTCTTGATTGAAGAGACCTTGATTCATACGCATGTACAGCATATCCATAGATACAAAACATCAGGTTTGTCGTCTTCTAAAGGGTGTTCACTGAGCATATGAGGTATCCTTGCAACAGTATTTTATATTATTCTACTACTTGTAATATAATAACTGGTCGCAAAATATAATAATAATAATAAATTGTGAACCTATTACTAAAACACCAGATATAATTTTTAATCATTATGAAGTTCGAATGTCTAACTTGGGATTTGAACCTAAGACTTCATACTCCGCCAACGTTCCTCATTAAATTTATTAATGAAATACCAAATTATTTTTCTTGTTACCATAACAGGAAAAATAATTTATATATTATAAATAATAATAACACTTTCCGGCAGGATTCGATAAATAATTTAGGTTGGTTCTTAAAGTGGGAAGTCTAGGCACGAGGTTTGGTTGTTACCTGTATTATAAAACCTAGTTGGGTATATACCTGAGTACCTACGATACGTACGACGCGACGCAAGCTGTGGACTACGATTGTCATCATAATAAATCTTAACAACTAGCTAGCAGTCTCTTCAAATAAAAGGTTACTTGTCGGAAAAAACACGAGGAAAGACTGACCTTCATATTCAATTGACGATCTTGTACCTATATCTATTGTGGAACCTAAGTGCCTGGGTATAGCATGCAGCAGTTCTTACATATCTGGTAGATATGTAGGCTAACTAGCCCGTTCCACATAAAAAATAAGTTAGGTAAAATCAAAGTTAATAATGAATTGGTAGATATTAGTAAGAAAATATTTTCTATGCTTTTCCTTTTTATTTGTACTTAATAGGATAATTAAATTTTTAGTCGGATCAATTTATGATTTATAGTTAGGTATCTAATCAGTTTCAAATCATATTGTCCAAATGTTTGGTAATGTATACCTAGTAAGTACCCGTAGTAGGTAAGGTACCTGCGTACCTATAGTCTCCCTCATATATTGTAATGCTGCTGATGATTGCCCTTATTTTATCTCAATCGATCGATTCTTTTTAACGGTGTTGCCATTCTTTGTATTTTATACGAGGAAATTGTAATAAAAGTTAATAGCAAACTGTGTTAAGTACAAACTAGAGTTATCTTGATGATGTAGAGTAGTAATCTAAAATAACTTTTATAATAATTCCATGTTTTAGGTCTACGCCGCGAAATAAGGTAGGAACTTGATTCTACTGACTGAGCACTGCGCATGTCCCTCCTCCTCACAGCAATACGTTTGAATTTGACATTTGTCAATTGTCATTGCTGCCAATTTCAATAGGTACTGATAATAGTTATCAAATAAATTAGGCGCGATACTTGTATTTGGTACAAAATATAAGTGATAGTAGTTTTCTATGAATTGGCGTTAAAAAGAACCGGCATTTCAAGACCCAGCTTTAACGAACGGAGTAATAGATGAATTGAATACCGTGTACTACACTGACTACAATGCATTAGATACTCGGCGATTGCGAACGTTGAAAGACTACGTTAGTAAAATGTTTTTGCCTGTATTGATATTATTGTTTACTCCGAGGATTTTCTGTGAAGACGACGAAAACGTGACTTATCCACAAGGTAATAAAGTTCATTGTCCATTTAGTGTAATTAGTTGTTCATTTTTCATAATTGGAACATATAATTTTACTTTTACTTGATTTTTCAGATGATTACAAATGTTCTCTGCCTGATGTAAAGAGTTTGGACGCAAATCTAGACATTACAAGATTTAGATCGGATTTCTCGAAAATATCAGAGGTATGTGTTTTGAACGTTTTGTTCTGATTTTAGTCTTATTTGATTTTTATTTTTAATAGGTAAGTAGTATTTTCATTTAAGGCAATACGCTTTATGTTTTATAGTAGGTACTTAGGTACTTATGTAAGTATTATGAAGTTTTGGTACCTAACTATCTGTCTGTCTATAGTGTTCTAAGTTAAACTCTTAAACCTGGTTAATGGGTTACAATTCTGCTGTTTTTATATTATTTGTAAATGATTCATATGATCATGATAGTATAATAAAGGACTATAGATAATAAAAATAATTATAATTTCTTAGGCCCTTGAAAGCTTAGAATTGCTAATCCCATTTATGTGGTGAACAAAAATATATTAAGTTATAATACAAAATTATAATTTTCAGGTGAAATTTCCTGGTCTGATAGGTCCTTTGAATGAGAGGCTGATATGCAAAATTAAATGTATTGATGGCAACTGGGTGGGACCTCTTTGCTCTAACACTCCAGGTTAGTACCACTCCACATTTTGCAGTATACATTTTAAAAGTAGGTACATACATAGAAATAAGGCCTTGTGTGGTCTAAATTAGTGCTTATCACTAGAATAATTTATCTTTTCCTCCTTGCCTGGAACTATTGTGTTTTAATGAGTAAATTTTTTTTACACCTTGGCCCCACACTAATATTTTCCTCTATACCTATTTTAATATTTATCTTAATCTTTGACCTCAAAAAGCTGGCATATCACACCCATTATGTATGTAGGTAGTACCAAATTCAAATGCATGCACTCAATATAAATTCCATCAATAAAATATAACTGTGAATGAAACATCAGGATTTTTTTATATTGTAGGGCCAATTCTCTCCTACAAACAATGATGCATCATTGAAATAATTTTATGGTAAGGTATAGGCATAATATTCAGTGTCCAGTCTATAGAGCACCATTCTGTGAGAGGATATAGCTGGAACCAATACATACCTAAAGAACCCAATATAATATATTGTGTATGTAACATAATATTATGTTCAGCGAAAATGTATGATTTCAAAATTATACCACCTTTTCGCAAATATCCAAAAATCACTACTTTGACACACCTTTTTTGTAGCATTAAATATCTCAATGAAATTTCTTTTTAACAAGTTTTGTTCATATTTTTTTTTATATCAGGTATAAATGAAATTTTACTTTAAAACTATAATATTTATTGTATCTATTGACTATTTACAGTTGTATAATGGTAGTAAATAATAATTAAGCAACTGGTTTGTTTTGTCCAATATTTTAAAATGATACTTAATCAATTGCAGATGGGAGATTCCAGCCCATATTAAGAGAATGCCTATATAAAAATGAACATCCTCTCTTGGCTATATCTTTCAAGAATTCATCCATAAATGTAAGTACTAAGTGCTAGTACTAAGTATGATATAGATGTGACCATTGGCCGAGGAGACTTCTTTTTTTATAACGTGATCTGTAATCAAACAAAATATTATATATCTGTGGTCTAAAGGTAAGTTTAGCTACTCCACTGACCTATCCCAACAAGAGCTCTATTTTTAAACATTTTAATCAAGAATGAAGCAGGTAGGTGCTTACATCGTAAGGAAAAGAACATTGGTAATAGCAAATATTTATTACTAATGTTTTCCAAGAAAATAATTATTTGCATATTGACACTAAATGTAATGCATAATCCAACTAAATTGGTCAATTTTTCCTTATGTAGCTCACATTGAATTGTAAATGTATTAAAATATGTGTTACAGCAACCTCCACATTTAGGTAATTTAAAATTATTATTTGTATTTAACTGTAAATATTTTAACATGTCGAAGTTATCCTCTAAGTGCCTTTTCACACGTTGCCGTTGCCGGGTACCTGGCGGCGCAGTATATGGCTATGTATTGTAGCTTTCATATGTATCTGTATAATTTGTATACACTATGCCACTGGGTGTGAAAAAAATAACTAACACTAAAGAAGTAGGCAGAGGTTTACGCTGTTTTTTTTATACTATTCGTAATATTATTTATGGTAGTCATCCCATGTAATAGAGAGTCCAAACTTTGTAAAGAATTTTGAAAATCATTTATATCGAATTTTTAATATAGTTATAAAGCTGAAGAATTTGTTTGTTTGACAGCGCTAATCTCCGGAATGTAGGTTCGAATTCAAATAATCCTCTGTGTTGCGAAGTCAACAAATATCAACAAAGGCTATAGGCTAATTTTTAGCCGTTGCATTACGCTATGACGAAATGGAGCTGAACAGTGTGTGAAACCTCGTGTTGAGTAAGTAGCTTGTATAGTTATGGTGTTATATTTTTTCAGAAAGACACACATTTCCCCCATGGGTCGGTGTTAGTATCCCGGTGCAAGCACTTTGGCTTGTACAAGATGAAAGGTGACAATATGATACATTGTGAAAACGGAGAATGGGCTCCTAAGCTACCTGAATGTGTACCAACCTCGGTTGTTACCAACTTTACAGGTATATTTAATTTTTTTTAAGTTTACTTCCACTCTGACTGATAGTGATAATCACTATGACTGAAATTTGTATTTAATACTTTTTGAAACATTTTCCTGGTACCTAACTGCTTAGTTTCTTCTATTGCACCATGCATAGTTATTTTATGAAAACAGTCAAAGTAAGTGATAGTCTCTATCCTCTGTACTGAATCAATCTACTTACCTTTGTACCAAATAACATAACAACATAATATCACGCCTTTTATCCCCGAAGGGGTAGGCAGAGGTGCACAGACGTAACACCCACTTTTCACTATTTATGTTATGAGTCCCATGTAATAGGGGGCGAGCCTATTATACATATTATATTATACCAAATAACTTTATTGATTATATGATTATATATGCATAAATAAATTTTAAATAAATAGTGAATCAAAATGTTTCAGGAGATGCGCCGCCAACGATTCAGTACACTATAGTAAGCGGGTCGGCAGTGGTGGAGCATTCGGGGGAGTTGTTCGTGTTCCCCGACAGCACCCTGCGACTCGACTGCGTGTCGCGTCGCGCCCTTGGCGACCCCGAGTGGAGCTGGACACAGGCCGTTGGGCAACACACTTCTGGTACATTATTGTTTACATTCATTATACAAAAATACTGTGTCTTCCTAAGTATTAGCTATTCTATTTACGTACCTATGGATGGCTAGCGTTTATCAATATTAATAGAACCAAAAAATACTAGAGGTATCACGAAAGAAACAATGTAACGAAGAATTGTATTGTGACCCTATTTCCTTTCGATAGTCTCCCTAAAACTCGAGAACTTCTGAACCGATTTGAATAATTTAGGTATTTAAATGTTCATGGAAGACCAGGGGGCTTACTCTTGAATCCAATTCCGATCGATCGACATTGGTATTGTGAAATTTCGTACTCTCGAGTTGCAATACTAGCGCCCATTACATCCGTATTGCGTGGATATTTAATGAACTAAAAGGTATTGAGCTTGGATTTATATTCCGTACTCTGAATGCTATTTTAATAGCTACGATAGTGGTTGTATAGTGTGGACATTTAATAATTATTGAGATTATATTGAATTGAAATTGAGATTGGTTTCAAGAGTAAGCACCCAGGAGAGATTCAAATTGTGAGAAAAAAAATTTTCAATGCAAATTTTGCCGGGTCAGTTAATAAAGACTCTTTAGTTTTGTTTTTTTTTCCTCCTCAAGTTATAAACTTCTGTATATTATGTTTTGCGAATGATAATGGCTGGTTGCAATTGTTTTAATTAAATGCTACACTGGCTAATGTCGTGTTTATTAAGCGAAGATACTGCTTAACCCGAACTGCTAAAAATATGTAAGCGAAGATTTTCGTAAACTGTGAAGTTTTATTATAACTAAGTAATTATTCGTTTCATTGGCGTAGTATATTCTATTTGAATATTGAGAGAGAAGGCAAGGCGAGGAATTTGATACCTACTTAATTATTTTAATTTTTACAATACTATATATAACCCATTCTATTACCATTCAAAGTGCCTTTTCATTATGCCTGTAGTATTTCATTGTTCTGAATTGCGAATACATGTTTTATTGTTATTGAATGTTACTTTGTTAAATTGTATTTCATCTGTGTTGCTATTAAGTACTCGATGCCCAAATCACTTGCGAAAATATCATACTTATAAAAAATATTGTTGTCTTTTGCTAAAACATGGTAAATATTACTCTTATTTAAGTTTTTCTTGCGTATTAAGCTTAATATAGACGACCGCTTCCATATTTTTTAAGGTGTTTTATTAATTTTATAGAGGTATAATATCTAATATTGATCGACTGCCTAGTTGGCCTATAAAAGCCTGTGGGTATATAAAATTATTAGATAAATATCTATTAATAGTTTGTTACATTTCCACGGCTGATTTTTATTTATTAGTACGTTGTTTCCAGCATGGTCGAGCGAAGAAGGCGAGAAGGATTCGCATTATCGGCTGACGCTGAGCAAGATGTCCGTCCGGCACAGCGACCAGTACACGTGCACCTCGCCCGGAGGACACACCAACACCGTCAGCATTAAAGTTGTTAGTGAGTTGTATTTATTAAACTAACTGGCTTCTGCTAGCGGCCTCGCCCACGTTCCCAGGACACTAAGTTTTTTTCTAGATTATACAAGCTGTAGTTTTGAAACCGTGACATTACTCGGGGGCATGTCACAGTTCACAGAAGTCATAAGGTTCAATGTAAAAGAAAGTTTCGGGCCAATAGTTAAAAATACGGCTATAATAAATGGTTTAAGTTCGACAGTATTTCAGAATAAGTGACAGCAATGTTTCTTATCAGAGTTTTATGGAATTAGGAATAATATCAATTACGTGTTTGAGTTTGTGTGTGTTGAGCCGCGTAATAAAAATAGTTACAAGACGGCGGCTTGTAGTTCGCACTTACGGATTTCCGTAATTTACAAAAAAATTAAAAATATTTACCTACAATTATTTTTATTGATTCGGACTCAGAATCGATAGCCGAGTTACCTCCTAGAAAATGACGCGGCTTTAAAACAACACCTTGTATATTGTATACCTCTACACCACATCCGAAGCCGTCCAGTTATTTTTCCATGAAAGAGTAACATACATTCATATCTAATTATATACCTTTCGTATTACTCAGGAAGTAAAGTTCTCTTGACTGCCTCGTTGTAGTGGTCACAAGTGTGACCGCCGGGCAAGGGGTCGAAGGTTCCATTCCCGGTTCGGGCAAAGTATTACAGGGTTTTTTAAAAGAATCTTCGTAGTAGCACGGAGTCTGGAATTGTGCCCGGTCTATGGCAATAAGCTCACACCCTATTACATGGGATGAGTCCCATGTAATAGGGTGTGAGTGTAACATAAGTAGTGAAAAGTGGGTGTTACATTGTACAGTGGCATTAAGTGCCGTAATGTGCACCTCTGCCTATAAAAAGACGTGATGTTATGATATGTTATGTAAAGTTGCTTCTTTTCTACTCCCTTCTATGTAAGAACTTGGAAATTGTCTTGTTAGTAGCCATAACTTGAGAACAGTTAATACACTACATATTTCAGTTTTTATTACTTTTATTACTCGATAATCGGTTAGCGTCGCGTCATATTGTAAATAATTATAGAAATTTTCATAATTTAGGTGTACCTACAAATCAAATCTATCTTTTAAGTGTTTTTGATAAACATTTTTGTTAGGTATTAGTCGTTACAAATAATACTCGCCTAACATAACGAATAACTTATAATAAAGTGGAATAAACAAAAATGTTTGTTCACAGATGTGGTGTGTCCAGCAGTGATAGTGACGTCACAATACATTCGGCAGTTCACACAGGGAACGAAGTTGGGCAACTCGGCGCATTTCAGTTGCCAGCCAGGGTTCCACCTAAATGGATCGGCTATACTCACCTGCATGGGCAACGGTAAACATATTAACATTAAAAAAAATATAAAATAGGGAAGCCGAAGGAAAAATTGGGTTCGATCCCCGGATTAGGAAAGGAGTTATTTATTGAAAAATTTTCAAATAACCGAAAGTACTAATAATTATTAGTGCTTTCGGTTTTTTGAAAATTTACTAGTAATAGCACGGCGTCTATAATTTGTACCCGTTATATTATTATGGTAATGGTGTCACCCCTATTATATGGGACTTAATCTATAACTGATGTAATGAATTTAAAACATTATTTTCAAGGATCAACCTTTATTTTTATTTCTATATTTTCATTTATTTTATTTAATAATTTTTTAGGATTATTCCCTTATTATTTTCACTAGAACAAGTCATTTAACTTTATCATTATCCATTTCTTTACCTTTATGATTGTGTTTTGATTTGTGGATTGTGGGTACCTCTTCTTTTTTTTTCCTCTTCTCTCTCTACCCCTTCGGGAGACAAATTGACGTGATGTTATGGTATCATCATGTCATGTAGCACAAAGCAGCGTTTCTGCTCGATTTTTGTCATATTTAACTCGTATACTGGGCAGAAACTTCAAAATACCTTATTATTTTCTATCTATTATTTTCTGAAATTGTTGCCCTCTTCCCCATATTTTATCATTACTGAAGTAGGTGCATAACAAAAACTGATAGACCTATAAGATTATAAAAATAAATACATTCTTGCAATGACTAGTATTTGTTTTTATAATAACTATCGTGAGACATACTAAATTAAGTAAAAACACGGGTTGCTCACGTGAATATACTGAGAAAAGCTCTACTAGGTTCGAACCACAGAGGGGTTCTTCCTCATGAGCAGCGTACGCGGTCGCGGTGACGTCGCGCAGCTCACTGACTCACCGACTCAGTATATTCACGTGAGTAACCCGCGTTTTTACTTAATGACTAGTATTTATTTATCTTCATCGCATAAAATTGTATACTTACATGATTGTAATGGTAATATATTATCTAAGTGTTAAATAGTATTTTCTCATTAGGTCAATGGTCATCACTACCGCCGACATGCGAAGAAACCTTCTGCCCTATGCTGAAGACTTTGGGTCCTCATCTGAGCGTCGTAGAGTACAACTCTTCGTTTGGCGGCCGTGCAATGTTCCAATGTAGTTGGGGCTACCGACTGGTCGGTGCGCCGGGCTTGGAGTGTGAAATGGATGGGAAATGGTCCGGAGAAGTACCTCACTGCATTCGTGAGTAACAGTAAAATTTTTAATGTCTGAGTAAGCATTCTAACAAAAATATTCATATGTTAAAAAAAACGATATTCTATATTTGATATTTTTGATTTAACAGCAATATACTGTCCTGGGCCGCTGGTGCCGACAAATGGGCGCTTACTGACGGAGCCCTCGATAAACAACGGCAAGTACCCGGTTGGCGACTTGATGATATATTCCTGCGACGATGGCTACGAGATTGTCGGTGAATCCTCTATTGTCTGCACAGAAAACGGATTTTGGTCCCACCCTCCACCATTTTGTCTACCACCCTCTGAGATACGAAAAACAGATACTATTTATGTAGAAAACACTACACTCATTCATATAGAAGATTAAATTCGTGTTTGTATAAATAAAGCACGAAACAAATGTTTTTGTTATTTCATAAGTTATTTATTTTACATGTTGCGCAACAGGACTTTTTAGGTTGTTGTATTCGTTGTATAAATATTTATATTTTGCCTCAGAAATAGTTAAATAAGAAAAAAATATAAATTGTATAATAATTTGTCGATTTGTATCGTTAATTTCTTACAATATAAAAATAATAGTGATTGGTTAGGCTTGACTGTTTAGTTCTCATTTTCCTGAAATCCTCATTGCATTTTGATGTAAGTAAAAAATTATATACATTTTGTTGATTAAAAAAATAAAGTATTTACAATAACTCAACAGTCTTTTATTAATTTATTGGTACGATTCATAGCCTAAAGAAGGCCATTTACATTATTTCTTACTTCAACTTTCAACATAATATATTAATTTTCGTAGTCATACGTATACTTCCTGCTTGACATGATTAAAATGACCCTAAAATAAAATCAGACGATACACAATGCATGTACAACTTTCCCCGCCACGAAAATACTGGCCATCGTTCGTGCCGGACTGCCGGTGATTATAAGTGAATAAGAAGTGATTCGAATGTGAATAGGTTGCGTACCTACTCCATGTTCGGTTTTTTTTGAGGGGAGAATATCATCCAATGGCTTCTCCCGCCTTGGGTTAGGCGAGAGGGAGTGTTAGTCTTAAAGCCACCGCGTTCCTACTCCTGTTCTTCGAGCCGGAGCCCCGGCAATATGTTAGGCCCATTAAGCCTTACTAAGCCTTACCCAGCTCCTTCCATTCAGCCCCATCTGTGGTGGTCACCACAGATGGGGCAGACCTGCCATCACATAAGTAGTTATAACACATTTTTTTTATTTTTTTTTTGCTTTGTGATCTGCGTGCCAGAAACTGTTGAGTATATTTACATGCTCTGTGCTGCCGAGTGTCAACTGTCAAGTGACCAAGTGTCAGTCAGGCAGTCAAATAAATAATGTCTTGTTGGAGTGTGAACTTATGAAGTGTGCAAACGAATTACATTTATTAAAGAAAAATACTATGCAGTTATAATAATAAAGATAAAGCTTTAAATTATTTAGCCGTAAATTTAAACATTAAAATGCGAGCGGTTGTGTTAACATTGCTTTGTTTGGCAAGTTCGTGTTGTTTTGGCGAGGATGTCAAAAAAGTTTCATACAAAATGCCGACAGTAGGAATATCTGTGCTTGTTCGTAATAAAGCACATACATTACCCTTCTTTTTAAGTTGCATACGTAACTTAAACTATCCTAAGAATCGAATATATTTATGGTAAGTTTATTTACAGCTTACTTTCATGACGAGCTTCATGGGTGAAATTTACGATAATTGAAATAAAATGAGATAATTGATAGGATATCCTCTACTGGTCACTGGGCTACTGATTCCCCTTTGTTGCCTATTTTTTAAATTACCTTACGAAAATAGGTTACAAAGAAACTGCCAGTGGAAATAATTTTATGATAAACTTCTTAAATACAAAGTTTTTAATTCTAACGTGACATATAGGATGTGGAAGAATTAACTCTTGCACTTTAGATATTATTCCAATTTATAAGTTAACCATAATGTGTGGTTATGTTCATGAGGCTTGGGACAGGATCCGGTCAAACTGCCCATAACAAAAGGTCTTTGTGTAACAAATATAATACTTTGTGTTCCTCCAGTTGTTATTAGCTGTGTAACATTGTTTTTATTTTTACTCAGGATTTATAGTGATTTCAATGAAGATAAAAGTATTGAAATTCTTGAACGATGGGTTGACAAGTATGCACCGCTTTACAATGGTGTGTATATTACTACAAACAGTTCAAGTGGACGCCTCCATAGTGATGAAAAGAGCCCAATACATTGGAGCTCCAATCACTTCAAACATGTGATATCATTGAGAGAAAAAGCTCTGGATTTTGCTAGAAAAATGTGGGCAGATTACCTCTTTGTGAGTACTGTTCGAGATTTTATCTCTATCTATGGCCATTCTATTTCTTTTCGGGTAAGGTTACTAAGGTTTAAGAAAGTGGCCTAAGCACCAGAACTCGATATTACTGAAAAACATAAAATAAATTAAGAAATTAAATTAATTAGTACCTATGCTTAATATAAAACCTTTATCTGGTCTTCTTTATGCTGAACATAGATTTTTTGAATTTTAATCTGCGGGCTTATGTTATTTTTTCCCAATAGTAAACCTTTTAGATTTCATTGCCTTCTGAACAGTCATATCAATTTTGAGCACTACTTGCATATTTGCAGTTACGTCTTTAACTTTCCTAATATTTTTTTCTAAATACTTAGATGACTAATATTTAACTCGTCAAGTACTGTCATTATAGACACAATTATAGAACAATAGGTTGCGGTCACCGGTGACCGCTTGGTGTTTGACAGTTTAATTATATAGTTATATAACGATATGACACTTCCTAATTTTTACAACTGAAGAAAATAAGTTGGTTTTAATAATAATAATTGTACCAAACTTCAAGATTGGAAGTGGTGATAAAATAAAAAGAGTACAGGGGTCAATGGTCTCATATCTTATTCAAAAATATATTCATATGTGTATGAGATAACCCTATAACAAAATTAATTCCTAACATGATAAGCATACATAGTGTAAATTAATTTATAGATGTTGTTAATAGACAAAAATGTTTTTATTGCTTTTCCATTATGTTACAGATGATAGATGCTGATGTGTTTCTTACAAATCCATCTACGTTAAGTGTACTTGTATCCAAAGACCTTCCCATCACTGCACCAATGCTTGTATCTGATGGACTTTACTCAAATTTCTGGTTAGAAAGTTGGTCACACATATGCATGACAGCATGTGCATTGTTCTACAAAGGTGCTTTACTGAAGCTTCATTCAATTCCGTGCAGAGGCAGTAGACATTGCTTTAATAATCTGTTTTAATCACTCGTTGGCTTCTTAGTGACAAATGGTTCTGTCTCTAAGTCTAAATTATTTACCTGCATATCAAATAAGTTGGCTGAAATAAAGACAAATCAGACTGCTTGAAAGCAGTCTCTAAATTCAGATTCGCCTGCACTGTATGAATTTTTAACTAAATTATTTTTTAAATTGTAATTGTACAACAATGGGATAACTTCAGTATATGATTGAAAATTGATTGCAGGTGTGGGATGACTGACAACTACTATTATCAAAGAACAGATGACTATAAGCCCATACAGAGGATGGAGAAGCAGGGTTGCTATGAGGTTCCGATGGTCCATACTGCTGTCTTGGTTCATCTGCGGACCAGAATATCGGACCAACTAACATATAACCCAGATAAGATACCTAATTATGATGGCCCTGAGGACGATATTATAGCATTTGCAGTGAATGCTAAGAAAAATGGTAATATTATGTTGTATCTAATTAAATTATTTTAGTAAGTAGTCCTCCATGGACTCAAACCCATGCTCTTGTCATGCAATTAACTATGTCTCACTATTTATTTTCTTGTGTACAGGTATAACGCTACATATTTGCAATGATGACCTGTATGGATTTGTACCAGTACCTTTAGAAGACAACCATGATCCAAAGAGTGATTTAGAGCAGCTGTTGAACATAAAAACGGAGGCGATTGGACGCGGGAGTCCATTGCCCCTGGACCCGTTCCTACAGGACTATGTTACGTACCCTGAGCTCTGGAAGTTTGGTTGTAACGAAATCTACATGATAAACTTGGAGAGACGCACAGAGAGAAGAGAACTAATGGAATTAAGTTTCAAAGAATTAGGCATGGATGTCAAGCATTTTAAAGCTGTTGATGGCAGGTAAAGATGTACTTATTATTTGATTTAAATAATACTTTGCTTGCACTATACTATTTGCGACATTTTCACGAATATGAATCTAGCATCTACTTTTTATACACTGACTAGTTATCCGATCTAATGTAACACTACAAAGAATTGGTTAACTTGGATACCTACTAGTAATTTTGAGCAAAATATCTATATGTCATAATTATGTTTTTCAGACAATTGGACATGAATAACCTGAAAGATTTGGGTGTAACATTAATGCCTAATTACGAAGATCCATATCATAAAAGGTAATTTCATTTAATAAGTTGGTACTCCATATAAAACATTGAGAAGTATGTAAGTATATATACCTCTATATACGTTACATACCTATTACTGGAAGCAAGTATAACAGCTCACACATAGGACCCACTTAGATTTTAGTCAAATTTCCGTGGTGCTTGGCGACTGGGCTTCACGCAGTTGTACAGTCTCTTTTCTTTGTGCCTTTAGGCTTAATTCACTATCTCCTGCAGAAGCATTCACCGAGGGAAGTGGAAACTATCGTTATTATATTAATTATATTATTCATGTCCCTGGGACGGACTTCAGTGTTCCGGTGTTTTCACGGTTGTATCTACTGTAGATCCTGGCTTGCAGGAGTTGCAGCAGTTTTGGGAGGTTGTGGCGGGCTTGTCCCGTTTTAAAAAAGTATGTAACCAATTTACATTTTAATTGTTGCATTTTTGTTGTAGACCTATGAAGGCAGGAGAAGTAGGATGTTTTCTCAGTCATTACTACATATGGGAGGAGGTGAGTGTTTGTTCTATATTTTCTATTTCTTAACCAACCTCGTAGGTCATATTGCAGTTGGAAAGACTGGTTACCACTTTGACGAACGGCGGGGCGCCACCCTTATTTGGTGGACATTCCACCCATTCGCACGAAGCGTTTCGTGTCAAGCTTCCTCATGCGAACCGCTAAGGAATGGAATTCCTTGCCAGAAGCTGTGTTTCCCGTCAAATATGACTTGGATGTCTTCAAGTCCCGAGTGAACAGGTTGCTCATAGGTAGGCGTGCTCCATCGTCGGCCACATCGTCGCTTACCATCAGGCGAGATGGTGGTCAAACGTCGACCTATAAAGTGTAAAAAAAAAAACATAATTCAACATCTAACGGGGATATTACTTATATAAATTAATTATGGTTAACGGCTTAATTACTCAGCTGTTTAACGAGGTAGCTCGATTAGTTTCTAGTAGTTGAAGGAACTGATATAAGGATATAAGCAGCAGTGTACCACACAGCAAACAGTTACGTGACTAAACCGTAAAATAATTTAATATTTTTCACAAGGGTTATAACTTTTATGGCCTTATGAAAGCTTTACTAATGAGCTAATGCAAGAAGTATGTGTACGTTATAATGTTACAAATCTTTTCAACTGTATTGAAAGATACTAACTGCCAATGTTTTGTGAACAGATCGCGGAGAAGCGCCACAGTATCGCATTAGTTTTGGAGGATGACATACACTTCGTGCCCTACTTCCGCAACAGGTTACTGCGACTACTGCGCGAGATCAAACCATTGGAATGGGACCTGGTGTGAGTTTTATTGTTTTACACTTGAGAAGTTCTTATCCTTTTAAAATAACGTTTGTCTCTTGCATTAGGATTTTCTTCCGAGTCGTGGGTGCCTTAACAAACATCAATTTGGGAATACACAAAGATTTCCATGCGGGAATCGAACCCGCGACCCGTACAACAGACAGTTCCCTAACCTTTGAGCCTGTTTTAATACTTAGGCAGCATGTTTAATGTCAATGACTCGCGTGGCTAATACTTTTAACACGCTTTTGTTAGGTCGACCTATAGGAATAAAATCTAAGAATTTGAATTACATACGTGTACTTCTAGTTATTGCATCACCATGAAACTTGGCAATTACATTTATATGTATTACATGACCATACAATATTATGGTTTAATGAAGGAATTTGTAGTTAGCCCATGGATCCTTGTACCTAATACCTACTAGTAAATATGTTGCCTAGAATAGACGTATTAGATATGTTCATCTCTTATAACGAAGACACGATTTTAGAGTGTAGTTTAGATGAATTTCTTTTAATGCATTTCGGTATATGTGAGTGATGACTCTGGTTGTATCTTCAGATACATAGGTCGTAAGATCCTGCAGGACGCTGAAGAGCAATACGTGACGGAGCATACGACGCGGCCGCTGTACTCGTACTGGACGCTCGGGTACCTGCTCAGCGACCGCGGCGCCCGCAAACTGCTCAGCGCTCGCCCCCTCGACCGCATGCTACCCGTCGACGAGTTCCTGCCCATCATGTTCGACCAGCACCCCAAGTGAGTATTCTTAAATAAGTACCTGTTTCATTTAAGTTCCAGATAAACAATTATAAAAGAAACCTACTTAACTAAAAATCGTGGGTTGCTCACGTGAAAATACTGAGAAAAGCTTTACTAGTTACAAACCACAGAGGATTATTCCTCATGAGCAACGTGCGCAGTCGCGGCGATGTCGCGCAGCCTACTTCTACTATTTTTAGTTAGTTTAGTATGTCTCACTATAGTTATTACAAAAACCTAGTTCTTACAAAATACCCCCAATCCAACGGTTATTCAGGATATGTGAAACGGACCATTACCTATTACTTTAACTTACAATATTTGGAAATAAAGCATAATAAGTGTAGTTCATTTGCAAAATAAGCTACAGAAATGCACTTGATGACTTTTTAATTCAATGATATTCCATTTCTTATTCGCCTGGTCTAAATGCAGCAACGCGAGGACTGAAATTCCTTCGGGTTAAAACCTTGCGGAAACCTTTCCAGCTATGAACTAATTTAACATTGATTTAAAGTAACCATGACCTACGTATATTAAGAGGTAGCCGAGAGAAACACGAACGAACTTTTCCGTCCATTATGTGGTCAAGTCTGTTTTTGTGTTCTCTTTCTGTGGCGTTGTGTTTCATAACAAATATATAATTTACAGTGCGACATGGAAAGCCCATTTCCCTACGCGCAACCTGGACGCTTACTCGGCGGCGCCCCTGCTGGTCCACCCCACCCACTACACGGGACAGGAAGGCTACATTAGCGACACCGAGGACTCTGACCTCGTCACTGAAATAACATTCCAACACTATAAAAACGAACTCTAATCATGATGCCATTTTGTAAGTCATTATTCCACTACGATATTACGTAGTTTAGGTACCAAAGATAGTTTTTTATATAGTCATTTTTATTCATATTCTAGTGAGTATTCGTTAGGTTACTATTAAAGAAAATCATATCATGACGATTGCATACGGTCTGAGCTGTCAAGTGTAAAATCTTTATCTGGCTCCAGCGAACTACTAATTGTTATGTTAATATTATAATTGTGAAATTGGTATATTGACACAAGCGATACGTAAACGTGAAAAGAAGACTAAACTTTTATATAATAAGACAGTTATGAATTGTTTCTACATGTTAAAGCAATGTTTCTTAAACACTTTCACATTATAATCACATATACACAGTATATTGATGCGTTGCGCTGCGTGGCTTGCTTGCACGCGTTGATGGTATCGTCGTCCGGGAGTGCGGACGGACGATCATTAACGTGGAAAGTGCGTCCGCCACGGTTTGATATCGCACGTATCGACTGTTATTACATCTATAAAATAGTCGTTCCAAAGTCATTGCAGAATGTACTACGTACCGACATATGTGATTTATATCATCATCACACCTTTTATCCCTGAAGGGGTAGGCAGAGGTGTACATTACGCCACTTAAAATCACTTCGCACTTTTCACTATTTATGTTGTCCCCTGCAATAGAAGATGACCCTATTGCCGTACACTGAGCACAATTTCAGACACTGCGCTACTACTGAGATTTCAAAAACCCAGCATTACTTTGCCCGACCTCAGAATTCAAACCCGAAGCCCCCTTGCCGCGCAGTCTCACTTGCGACCACTCGGCTTACGAGGCAACGCAGTATAATTGATACTATATCTTAAACAATCAAACTAATGCCAGATCTCTTTCTAGAACATTACACATGATATCCACATAACTAAGTAATTGATAATTAACTGTGTCGCTGTGTCAATCTACTATTTCTATACATAACTAGCTTCCATGCGGTTTCACTCGCTCTGCTCGGCTCCTACTGATGTGATAAATGCACTATCCAACACAATAAGAATGTTTCTAATCGGTCCAGTAGTTTCTAAGATTAGCGCGCTCAAACAAACACACTCTTCAGGTTTAAGATTATGTACCACTATAATTATGTTACGATGACATTTTTTGCAAGACTCATAAATCTAGAGTTAGTTGGTGCCAAATGAGAGTTGCTAAACAAAATGAATGCAAGAACTGTATAGAGATAGATATAAGGTTATGATAATGATTGACTAATGTCTACTTCTAGACTAGACACATTTAAACAATCCATTGTGACTTTGGCAAAGTTCCTGTGTTTACAAGTCTGTTAGCTTGATTTTATTGGCAGCGTTTGATTGCAAGTTGACATCGCCATAATATACCACTCTATATTAATCTACATATCTGAATTTTTATTCATCTATTTTAGTCCATCGGATTTTGTATACGATATGTAATTAATAATAATAAGCCTAATTGACTTTGATCGATTGTTTAATTGTTAATCTTATGCATTAATAATAACAACAGTATAGTTTAATCCTATAGAAGTGTAATATCATTAAATAATTATTGTTTTGTGATAAATCCTACTAAATGTAATAAGTTTGTTCATCAGTTATGTTGTTTTTATTTTAGTTCTATTTATATTATTGAGACTTTAAATGCATTTATTGTAATATTTTAGTATAATTAAGTTTACTTTGATGCAAGTACGCAACTAATTGTTTATTTTAACTTCTAAAAGATTTTTTATTTAATATATTTCATTGATTTACTCATGTGCCATAACAGGTTCCTAATTATTTGTAATCTTTATATAATAAACGTGCATAACCGACAGGCATTTTTTATTTTAATGCAACATGAAACCATACTGATTTCTACAATATTATGATTCCGTCATTTTGGCATATATTTTCATTATTTAGTTACCAAATTGGGAATTTACCATACGTCTTCCAGTGTAGATGCCATGAAACGGATTCTAAAATTAAAGTTTCCAAGGGAGTACTTATGCGAGCGCGTGGCGCGGCTGCTGATGATGATCTCGTACAGGAAGTTGCTGCAATTGTGAGGGCGAGCTACGAGGAGATGAGTGAATGCCGCGCGGCTCTCGAGCGCATGGTGGACGCGCTGAGCGGTGAGCTCGCCGCGTCCGCGCCGCCGTGTGGCGATCTGCGGCGCGAGCTCGAGTGCTGCTACCTCGCGCACGCGCACCAGCCGCTCAACTGCTCCCACCTCGTCAAGGAATTCATGCGATGCGCGCGCGACCACGCTCTGCGTGATCATTCATAATGCGGCTTCATACATTTTAAATTACAGCATAACAATGTGCAATCATTATCATCCAGCGGTGCAGTTACGTGATTTTTTGTCATCATTGTTTTTCTTATTTGCCACAATTTACGTGTTTGTATAATTAAAATTAAACCATTATATGTAAAGGGATTTATTATTTGCCAAATATGATAAAAATCAAAATGTATAGCTTACGCACGAATGACTACACAAACTGTTATCTACAAGCGAATAATACTCGTATTATAATTTAGAGGCTGCTATCATCTGATGTAAGAGTTCGATGACGGTCCTGGTAGGTCGGCCGGTCATGCCACGCAACAGGTACGGGGTGTCAGCTCCCTTCGTATAGGCCACGTTGTGCGTGTCGAGGTGTACCCACTGGCTGTCCAGTACAAACTGCCTGAGGAAGGCGGCACAATTTGCAGAGTCCCCGTATTTATCGCGTCCTGTATTCGCTACGTCTGCAACTTCACAGTCCTTCACTCGGTCGGCATAAAAATTCCACAGCGGCATTCTCCAGATTCTGTCCCCAGTCTGAGCACTGGCAACTTCCAGAAAATGGTATAAGTCGTCAGAGTTAGAGTAACAGGCGCTTGCGGCTCCACCTAGGAAGTGTAATAGTTCTTTGGACATGGTGCCTATATCTATAATAAACTTGGGCCAGAGGTTTCGAGCATATATCAAACTGTCTGCAAGGAGCAAACGTCCTTCTCGAGATGGCATTCTTATTAGAATAGATTTATTGTTTGAACTACAAATGAGATCTCCGAATTTCGGACTATTTCCGTTTGGCATTAGTTCGCAGAGCGGTAGAATACCTTTGATGTTAACGGGGAGTTTTAATTTCGCTGCAGCTCTCGTGATAGCCAACACACAAGCTGCTCCAGCCATGTCGCCTTTCATGTACTTTAATTGTTTACAAGATTTCAAGTCTAAACTTCCACTATCAAACGTAACACCTTTACCGATCATTACCACGGGGCGAGTGCGTTCATTAGCTCCGTAATAGCTGATTTCTAAATACAGCGGGGGTTGTACTGACGATTTCCCAACTGATATAAATCCACCCATTCCGTGATTAGCTGCCCACCCCTTCGTTCTTACCTCTACATTTATATTCAACTCACATAAAAGGTCAACAGCTATTTTAGCAAATTTGGTAGGATTTAAGATATTAGCAGGCAATTCTTGTAAGTATCTAGCCAGGTTTTGGGCTTCTGCTTTCAAGTTTCCGATTTTCCACCCATCTACGTCACAATCATCGTAAAGGTTAAGAGTTGGTTTCGGTGAAATTGCTTTATTTATAGAAATACTCTTGTATTCGTTAAACTGCCAGACTGAAAGTTCTGCCCCTTCAGCAGCGGCCTCAGCATTTCCAAAGGACTCCACATCTATTTGTTTAGGATTCAACTTATGAAGCGCCATAGCGCCAACGCCAGCCGCTATTCTTATAGCTTCCTTAGTTTCATCCAGTCGTTCTAGTTTGTTGTAAGTGGTGCATTCACTTCCAAGACCAGCGACTGCGACAAAAGTATAATGTGGGTCTAAGTCGTAGAACACTCTAGCTTCGCCAAGCTTTGGTATGGGACCGAGCTTCAATAAAGACCACAACCTTCCAGAAACTTTCTCGTCGTACTTCCGTGCGCTTGCAGTTAGTATTGCAGGATCTGTCAAGACGTTTTCATTGAAATATACACCTAAGACAAGCCCTTTATGTCTACGGTTACATGTTTCTCTGGACCTCACTTTTCGCGGCGGTATTATCGGCACGCAGTCTGTCATCGGTTTTTTGAACTGAGATATAAGACGAACACTTTTAGGTTGAAAACTAGTTCTCAACGGTAGAAACAACATTTTAATTTTGTTAATATTTTTTGGAAAATTTTGATATTTGTGAAATCTTTGCCAACTAGTTTTTGGTAACTTACTTTTTAGTATGAGTTTTTATTATAATTTAAGTATAGTATATTAGAAGTAATGTGTAAATTTAATTATTAATACAACAAATATGTTTACAATATCACACATCATACATTGCTCACAATCAGATTAGCGCACAACATGTCTTTTGGGAGAGGTCAAGAAGTTTTCTTCTTGAGCCAGCTGGGAGTGTGACGTTCATACCACTCGGGAATATTCAGCAAGACTGTTTCTTGTAACTGCCGGTATATTATAAGAATGAGGAAGGGAATGGCAAGCCTCTCGTCTTTAAAGAAGTATACCCAAAAAGCTAGCAGAAGAAGGCAAACATCCACTGTGTAGTCAATCGCTGACCTCACGTTCATCTTAGCTTTCTTTTCAAGCTCTTGGTAATTTATTGGTATTACAATAGTTGCTCGTTCTGCTTTCCTTAGCACGACCTGTTGTGTTGTGGTCGCAGACGGAGAGATATTGTTTTCTGCTGTAGTGGAAACTGTTGGTTTAGGTTTCTTTTCTGTTTGTTTTTTCTCTGCAGTGGGTGCTGGTTTTGTCTTCACTGGCTTATTATTACTATTAGGACTGGCAGGTTTTCCCTTCCCAGCTGTAACTTTGCTGTTATTGATTTTATTTATTACATTTTTTGTTTTAGCTACTTTCTTTTCTTCGCCATTTTCAGGTTGGATTTCAAGCTGTTGTTTTTCAGCCACAGCTTTCAAGTCTTCCGTTTTGAGATACATAGGAGTGGATGATTTCTTATGGCTGCCATATTCCTTAACTATGTTACCATAATAATCAATTACTGTCCTTCCTTCTTCACTTACTTTGTCAGATACGTATTCTGTTTTGCTACTAATTTTGCCTTTATCGTTGGTCATGACTTCTTCTTTGGGTTTCTCTGGTTCCTTTTTGTGAAGTAGTTTGGGAAATTTCGTCTTGGTGATTTTTTTAAATATAGTAATTTTCTCATCCCGCTTTGGTTTTTCTATTTCTTTCGAATTTTCCACTGATTTTACTTTACTTTCAGATTTTAGGTTTTCTGAGGTTATAGGTTTTTCTACAATTTTAGGTTTTTCTGTTATTTTAGATTTATCCGTTATTTTTCGTTTGCCTTCCATTTTCGGAACCTCAAGAACTGCTTTTGTTTCTATTATGTCTGGCTCTCTCTTTTTTAATATAGGTTTTGGTATAAAATTAGGATCGGGTAAAGGTAAAAGTTTCACCGGTTCGTGTTCAGAAATATCTTCTTCCTCTTCTTCAATAAATTCTTTGGAAGGGGAAGGACGGGCCATTTTATCTCTTGGGTTATAAGTTTCCTCTTCGTTGGAATATTGGCTTCGTCTATCTAAATCACCATCAAGGCTTCCATCTTCTGAATATTCTCCATCTGAGGATACGGTGCTAGCAGTATAGTCTTCATCAAATGACATGTGTTGCCATTTATTTTCAGAGATTTCTGAATCCAGAGATACTTGACGTGGGCTATATTTGTTTTCACTGGAGTCAACAGATTCCGTTTTGATTATTATTTCTGGGTTCTTAGATTTGGTTTCAGAAAAGTCTTCGTGCGATTTTGGCAAATCCCGGTTATTTTTATCTTGGTCGTGATCATAGCTAGTATAATACGGAATGTCAGTTTTGTGATTAGGGGGTCTGTCGTCTTTGTTTTTAGTTTGTTCTTCTTTCATTGCCACGGCTTTGTGAACTCTAGCCATGGCTAGTTCATGTAGCAGCTGTGATGAGCTTACAGCATTGCGTAGTGATTTGAACGGCATCATGCATCGTGAGCTCAGCTCCGGTGCGGAGAACGAGAGTGGAGGCGGTGACAGCGCATCAAGATCCAGTTGAATGGATTGTCGTTTTTCTGAAAATAGAAAACGATTCATGTTCAACACCATAGATTGAAGCGTAATTCATTTCGCTACGCTAGCATAGGTTAAATGAAAGAGGATGAAAAAAAATATTATTCACAGTCGCTTCTGCATTTGCAGGTTTGGTTTTCGCTCGATTAATTCAAGTTGGCGTATATTACTAAGACAGAACGCAGTATAACTTCACGGTTCACAGGGGTTAAACAAATATAATAATAGTTGCGAACTTCGTTAACGCTAGAAATAGATTTGATTTCGCAAATGTGCTCTTGTATGTAAATTTCGCAGAAGCTGCGGTGCGGTCAGCATCTCGAGTTAATGTTTGTTTGGAGTTAGGTTAACGCGTTACTAAGTTGTGGTAATCTCGTAGCTGAGTTTGGTGGCCAGCTATTTATAGACGTGCCAGGCGTCGAAGTTTACCTACAACCTCGTTATTTAAAATTCTAAATTATTTAGATATGTTATACAACTTACACTCATTTAATTTCAATTTAACGTATCTTTTTTATTCTGATCTCAAAATCACTATTAATTAGTGATGTAGTGTATTTTCAAGTGATGATCAAGTCTTGATAGATGAGTTACGACTTTGAGCTTAAAATGACAGATGAATGAATATCACGAACGATGAATTATATAATTCGTAGGGATAAAAACATATTTTCTTAATTACTTAATTAGGTACAAAACGAAATTAGAACACGGAGACCATTTTTAATATTTTGTAGCAGCTGGTACATTATGTTGTGAACGTAAAGATTTCCTAATGTTTTCGATTACAATATATTTGTCCAAAATAATTCGCTAGTGGCGGCTAAGCTATGTGCGTATTGTTTATGTCAGACAATTGTGAAAAATCTTTTGGAATTCGCTCTACATTTTTGTTAAATTAAGGAAGTTAATTATGCGGAGAGCTTTCCTCAACCATACATTTGTATCCATTTTCCGATTATGTATTTCACTTATGCCTCTGTCTATATAATATTGTAGTTTTGCTAATGTGATTTGGTCGTTGAATCACGCGCGAGCGTTTGAACTGATATCACTAACCCGCATTAAAACAAAACAAAATGTTATGTAAGTGACGTTAGTCTAATCTTTTCTTTTGTGATCCGTTCGAAAGCCAGGCAGGTTAAGAAATAACGCGAAGAATGGGCAGGACTGGGAGGCTAGTGTTATATAAAATTATCTTATTTTCCTGAAAAACAAACACAGATAGACAGGAAGTACAGCCACTTTTAACTTGCTATATTATTAATGTCATTGTTATTGCAATATCTGCAGTGCAATACCTAGCAGCACCTATGTGGAGATATGGAGCAGTACCTAAATACAATCTACTACTTGTACAATACGTAGTATCATTGAATAATCAAGTATTAGTGGGAAGTATATATAGTGGGATAAAATGTAGCTCACATTTACATTATAACTTAGGAACATGGACAAATAAAGAGTTAAATTGATCTTACCGGATTTGTCCATCTGTTTTTGTGAATCCGGGTAGAGTACTAGCATGAACTCGTTGCTGCCGCCGGACTGGTTCCTGGCTGGCGAGCGCCGCGACACCCGATGCGGCGGCTGCGGCTCCGCGGGCGCGGTCTGTGCGCGCTTGCGGCGCGGTGCTGGAGACACGCGCGCGTCGCTGCCACCGTCCTCTCGAGTAAGCACTTCGTTTATTATTTTTGACTCTACTGCCAGGAACTCCATGTCGACTGGTCGCCCAGGTATCTTCACCGGTGCGGACTCCACACTAGGCGCGCTCATTCCATATGGACTTTCTGCTTTTACTCGAAAACGATATTCACTTCCTTCGATGAGATCGAACAAAGTTACGTTTGTTTTACGGCTGGTAGTTGCCTTCAGCCACACGTTCCAGCCGTTCCTGTAATACTCTACTACGTAGTTCCCAATGCGACACCCACCATCATCCTCGGGCGGCTCCCAGTCAAGAGTGACGGACTTGTCTACCTGTCTTGCCACAGAGACATGCTGTGGAGGGTCTGGTGGAGCTGTGATCGTCACTAAGAAGGCAGCAGTGTCTTCTCCGATTCTGTTTTTCGCGTGAATTTGATATTCACCACGGTCGCTTCTTCGTGCTGAGTGGATTTTGAGAACTGAAAATTTCGATGTGTTCGAAATCTCCACGCGATCGTTTACCACTATAGGCTGGCCATCGTGTCGCCATTCTACAGTTGGTGTCGGTTTTCCAACTATCGTAGTCTTCAGGAAAACGGTTTCGTTAATTTCGTATAACAAGCCGTCCTCGTATTGACGAGGGTAGCGTAACTTCGGAGCAGCTTCTAAGGATAATCGAGCTTTAGTGACTGCATGTCCGCTACGATTTGTTGCCGTGCATTTTATTTCTCCTTCGTCGCTCGGTAATGTTTGGTGGAAAACAAGAACACTAGTCGATTCGCTTGTAGTGATCGCCGTCCTTCTGCTACTAAATATTTCATAATCATCTTTGAACCATGCTATTGTAGGCGGTGGCATACCCGCGAAAGCGACACGGAATTCTGTTTTATCGTTTTCCAATACGGTTAAATCTTCCAGATGTTGGAGAAATATTGGCGGTTCATGAGGAAGGCGGTCAGAGCTGACCGTGAGCACGTCGGAGAGGTCGCTGTAATCGGAGCGTCCGACTGCATTGAGCGCTGCGACTCGAAACTGGTACCGATGGGGCGGCTCGAGCCCGGTTAACACGAGCTCGGGCCGTAGCACTACCGGCGGCGCTGTGCGGATCCAGTCCGGAGCCCCGAGCCTGTTGCACTCCACCTGGTAGCCGAGCAAGGGCGCGCCTCCATCGTGTGCCGCCGGCGCCCAGCGCAGCGTGATCGAGTTTGGCTCCTCATCCGGTGACAGAATCGGTATTATATCCGGCTTCCCTGGCGTTGCAGGTCGTCCTGAAACATCGAAGTGAGGCGGTGTGTTACTGTATGCACTTATGATTTAAGTTAAAATTAAATTTGTCTAGTCGGACGTTAACCTTTGTTCGGTAACGACAGTGCTGCCGGTATAAGCCATTTGGCATAAAACTCCTTTCAAAATTAGACGCGTGATAATCGTTACATGAACGCGGA